ACGCACCACCAAACCAGCAACAATAGTAGTTAATCAACTACCCGAACCTGACCAGCAAACCGCCAAATTTATGCATTACAGTAGCACAATTGTCAGAAATGGGTGTTGCGGCGTTCTCTTAAGGTGCTGATCCTGCTGCTAGGAGCAGCTAGGGAGCTCTCTTTCTTCCCTGCTGACAACAGGCTACATGACCAGAAAAATAATTAGGATTTATTGTTAAACAACATAATAGCAGACTACATGTGTAGGTCTATACTTTTTTTTTAGCTTAGTGTTTGACTGCATCCAGTGAGTTGGACTGAAAGCAGGCATGTCATTGGTGGAATGCCTGACACCGCTGTAGCCAGCATGGAGAGGAAGAGAAGGTGAAAGGTGGATTATTGCATGCAGTGTTTCTGTAAGTTATTATTCACTTACTCTGAACTCTTTGTCAAACTTTTTGACCGACCTGCGCATCACTACTAGTTTGTGTAAGATGGGATTCTTGCCTTATTCACATGAATTCGACTGCTGGAGTGTTTTTGCAGTCCACTGCTGTGTTTAAACTAGCATTTTTAGTAGTTCTAAGTAGGCAATCCAAAATGAGACACAGCTCAAGTTCAGCTATAGCATACCTATACATGTACGTACATAGCTAATGACTGGACAGATGTTAATAACAGGCTTTGTTATTTTCCCTCTAGCCTCTCTCCTTTTTTCCCTGTATGTTGTGTCTTCAACTCAATTCGTGCTTACATCCACTTGTATCATTACATTGACTTTGTATGAAATGTTACACAGCTTAAATTCCTTTTGCATTCTGTCTGGACCATAGACTTTATATAAAAACGGTATGGTCGCTGCCTTCTTGCGCTTGTGACGTCATTTGGAGCCAGGGACTGCGCAGTATTGATCGGGGTTGGAGCCGCACAATCACCCAGTCAACTCAACAGCTCACCTGTCAATCATGATGTGACACCCCCTTTTATAGCATAAAATAACTGATTAAAATCAACTTAACTGAACTTAGATCAGCATAATAACGACGTTCATCTTTATACACAGTCAATGATCTAGACAACTCTTGAGGAGGAAAACATCTTGTGAACGCTTGCCAGTTTTTTCATTAGGGCCTACATCTCATGCAATCCATTGCAAAATTTTATTCTTTGTATAAACATTTACATCTAAGGCGTCTCCCTGATGCTCTTATCCAAAGTGTCTTACAGTTGAGAGCAACAACTGAGTGAGATTCATTTCTCAGATGACAAACTATTCAGCCAGCTGGAGAGCTGAAAGTACATGGAGTAAATATACCCTTTTTCCCGGAATAACCAGGACAGTGATCGGTAAGATCGAGAATAGTAGAACAATCTTAATCTACATTACATCTCTATTACCCCTTGATTGACAGACACCAAAAATGGGAGAAAAGTTCAACTAAGAGAGTGAAAGTGCTGCAAAAGAAAAGAAAAGAAAGAAAGTGAAAGAAATGAGGAAGAAAAGGAGAAAGAGTTAAGCCAGGCAAAGCCACAGTCAACACAACCATGTTGAAATGATCAGATAGACCTCTCAGCAGACATCTTATCAATCAGGGACAAGAGACCACAGCGTGTGTGTGTGTGTGTGTGTGTGTGTTAAAGTGAGAAGGAGAGAGAGAGAACATGTGACATGATCTGCCAAGAGTTGTTTGTCTTAAGGCTGAGCACAAAGAAATGCTAACAAATGCTGTGGCAGAGGTCCGAGTTGTGTGTGCACAGAACACACACACACACACACACGTGTACAAAGATACACACCTAGAAAACATGCATGCACGTGCAATCACACTGAGAAATTGCTCTCTGTGGGTCTGCAAATTTGATAGAGATCTTGCAGATTCAGGGCACTTAGCCTTGGCAGCTGAACAGACAGAGTGATTGCATCTGTGTCCGTGTGTGTGTGTGTGTGTATTCTTGCTTCTTAAGAACAGGAAGAGATGATGAGGGAAAAAAACAAAAAAATATAGATGCTCTGAATGATCTCAGAGCTGGAAACATGCATGAAGCCAAGGACAGGCTTTTCTGTGAAAAACAACTCTGCTTTCTTTCCTCCTTTCACGTCTTGCAAATGCTTGCTTTAACTTCTTCCACTAAATGTGTCAGCTGCCCTTGCCTCTCTTGAAGAAGTAACACACATTACTTGGACATTATTTGTCATCCTCCACATTCTGCCAAGTGCTCTCTACCACTTTGGGAATCAATCACTCTGACACAGCAAAAAGAGAGATATTTAATCCTGGGATTTGGGTTTTAACTCAAAATCCATGGCTTCAATTTAATGCAGCGTGGAACCACACTTGGCCAGCCTCTCAACACGGAGTCCATTCTTCATAGAGGGGAATATTTTGAGATTGCATGAAACTCTTCCACCTGAATATCATCATTTAAATAAATGTGAACAAGCTGCCTGCTATGGTTTAAATGTTTAAATCTTCTGGGAAAAGTATTCAAATTTTGTCAGACTTTTTTAAGCAGGTTTACGTGTTCCCAATAATGGATTTTTTAACCATACATCTTGTCCAATAATACTGATATTGTTGCAAGACAATCGTTAGTTTAAGTACGCAGATTATGCATCTAAGCAGTGACTGATAAATGATGTGTGCAAACGGCTGGCTAGTGGTGAGAGAGTGGGAACCTATCACACCCCATAAATAAGATTAAGGATGCAGGTAACGTTTATTTTATTTTCATTTTTTCAGACAGTTATTTTCTTGACTAATCAATTCATTATTTGGTCTGGAAAATGGGGGAAAATGGCCATCACATTTCCCAGAGCCCAATGTGACAGAAGGTGATATTTATTATTATCACGGAATACTGTAAAAACAGTAGATATTCACATTTGAGGGGACATGGGTCATTTAGGTATTTTTAAACCTGGGCCCTATATACAAAAAGTTTGGAAATCCGTTCAGTAGATGGCTTCAGCCGGCAGCCGCAAACCGGCTGCAGTGGCTGCATCGTATTCATTTAGGGCAATTGTGCCCATCAAAATTACACCCACTGACAGGCTCAGATTGTTTTCCCACGTGTCTGACAACATCATGAAAAGGATCCCTATGAGTAACAATCTATATCACCCCTTGTTTTTTAACCAGAAACAAAAGTCTCAGTCAAGATAATTCTCACTCTGAAATCTGAAATAAGCACTTCAACCTAATTTGTATTTAACACAATATTACAGTTTTAATATTCCACTCGCGTCGTCATCACCTTGAGATGATTTGTTCCAGCATTTGACATGTCAAGCTAATTAAATCACTTTAGTTCACTCTCTCAGCATATTTTGTCTGCGTGTCAGACCACGTCTTATCTGCTGCTGCAGTGCAGATTGATTTTTGCTTCATAGCCCGTCATCATGGCATCCATACTAAGGTGATAGACTTTATAGACTTAATGTATTCACAGATGGCTTCTCATCTGTGGCTTATTATGGAGACAAGAAGCTGTCAAGGAGGAATGGAATAACATTTAGAGAGCTTCTATCACAGTCACATGTGTTTAAAGCAAAGCTGAGATTTGTTTAGCTGGACAATGAAGCGGACAAATGTAGAATAATTACACTGGGGGAAAAAATAGTGCTCTGTTTGTGGCTAGTTACAAATGTGTGGAGAATCCTGGACGTCTCCAGCCAGGATGCCACAGTTTATTGAGGCCTGAGCTGTTGACAAAATACAGGACTGTGATTTGACCATCTGCAGATCAGACTCTGTCTTTATTTTCCAGTGCTCACGTGGACCGTGCGATTCTCCACACAGCTAAATGCACCCTCATGTTCCCCCGAAACAGAACCCCCCGCCACATTGTCCGTCTCTCTCCCTCTGTGTGTCGCTCATTCCCCTATATTTCAGAAATTGCAGCCATATGTCTGAAGGGACCCCAGGTTCAAACATGCACCTTGAGAAACAACACTATTATCTACAACTGACTTTGAACTTCAAGTGTATAAAGAGGGTGGGGGGAGCAGTCCTGTAGGGAGAGGGAAGGTGGCAGAGGGTGTAAGGAGAGATCGGGAGATTAAAAAAAATTTAAGATAGACAGATGAGGTTAAGAGGGGTGATCTCTCAATGTGTGTTTGTATGTGCGTGCTTGTCTGTGTGCGTACATTTGCCTGCCTACAGTCGTCTGAATCCCAGGGAAGATTGATTGCCTTCCAAAGATAATCTGTCCCAGACACTCCCCTTCTCTGCCTCCCATCCACCTCATGCTCCTCTCCTCCCTGTCTCCCCTTTCTCACCCTTGTCTACCTTCCCTGCCCTTTGCTCTCCCAGTTGCCATAACCTCCCCATCCTGTCTGAGCACCTTCTGCCCCCTCTTAGCACTTTTCCTCCCTTATGATTTGTTTTCTTCACTTGGACATGCACTTTTTACAGAAGAAGACGAGGAAGTGTGAAAAGCATTATCCAGATCCTACATTTCACCTAAATCGTTAGGTGAAGCAAAGGTGTATCTGATGGTTCACATGCCCAAAGGAAATGTTTCAGGCTCTGTCTTTCTTAAACATTCTCTCACTCTTAAACTTCCCCTGCTGTATCCAAAGAAAACTATCACACTTTTTCCACGGTTAGTGTCTTTAATAACCCTTGATTTCCTTCTCTGCATGCCCAACCCAAACCTATGTCTCAAGAATTTATATGACAGGCTGCGTAACAAACCTCTTCCATCTGGCTTTAAGATACAAAATGAATAAAACATCTGACAGACAGAGAGGCACCTTTACTCCTCCTTTTCTTGTCCTCTTTGTCCTTTTCACCCTGCCACCAATAAAGAAGACAAGAGAGCTCCTTATGGCGATACAGAAAGTCAAAGTAGCAATGGAATCTTTAAACAACACTTAAGAGTTTTCAGCCATGCTAGCAGCTAAGCTAACATCAGTATGCTAACATGACAATGTTAACATGCTGATGTTTAGCAGGTATAATGTTTACCATGTTCACAATTGTAGTTTAACATTTGTAAATTAGCACAAAACTAAAGTTAGTAAGTATGAATCTTTATGATAAAGAACCTTTGTAACACAATTTTGCAAAGTGGTTTACACATTTAACATCAAGCACAAAGTTCATACAAGAGAAAAACATTAAAAAATACATACAAATGCAATGCACATACAACCACAGAAGGCATACACCACCCAGAGCACAGTCTTGGAATTATAGAAAAGCTAACCTAGAGAAGTAGGTGGGGGGGATGTTCCAAAGTCTAGGTGCAAGGACAGCAAAAGGGAATGTGGCATAACCAACAAGTTTTTAGCTCCTGTACAGCTGAGGCTGATGGAAAGTCAAATGTCTTGACTTAATGATGGTTCCACATAAAAAGTCTGAGTTGCTCCGATTCATCCTATGGGGGACATGAATGTACCACTTTAATGGCAATCTATCAAATACTTACCGAGACATTTCACTCAAAACCATAAATCAACCTTGTGATGGTACCAAAGGAAAAGTTAGGGGAAAAGTCAGCAGAATTCAGTGTTTGGGAACCATGACTATCTGCACTAAATTCTATGACAATGGGTAAGTGAAAACTTTGACTGGCTGGTGGCACTACAGGAAAAGTCAGGAGGTACAAACAAAATGATTAGGATCCATCCTCTGGGGACCATGGCTGTTCTCTGGTAGTCCATTCATCTCTGAAGGTATTTCATGAAAATCTTTGTCATTGTATTACAGTATACCAGGGTATTTAGAAATCCCGGCGGTTTGGCTTTCAATACCATCAAAAATACAGATGCTCCTCTTTCTATTAAACTGATACTAAGATGCTGTATTGAGCTGATGTATTGTAGTGTACACTCAACGTAGGCAGGTGCCTCTGCGTGAAACTGCCTTACTTCAACGTGACATCATGATAACCCCGTTCACTTTCCCATCAGTTGGTAAAAAACACACACGGGGGCTTTAGCTGCAGCCTTAATATACTGATATAAACTGTAACCTACACTGTACATTTACTGCCAAACTTCACTGCTCACCTTTTGTATCTTCTGCACTGCATTCACCTGCCGCACGCCCACTTTCGCTTAACCACACACTTAGTATGCACATCAAAAAGGATTCACTCGATGGCGACTGCGAGGAGTGGGGATAACATTACAAGACTAGTAACAAAGAAAAAGCTTTTGTCCCTGTTTGGGAGGATTCTGTGTGTAGTACTGATGATAAAGGTAAGCTAGCCAACTAGGACAAAGCTGTGTGCACATCATCTCTGTTCAGCACACTGATGTGTCAGCGTCCTTTGCAGCAACATCTGTCATCAAATCTTCCAGCACGAATCTATGGGTGAAGGATAAATATTTCCTATCTATTCATTATTCTAAGAACCATAAGTGAAACCCAGTAAGAAGTAGGCTAACTGCATATTAGAGACTCATTCTTGTAGGCTAGACAGTGGCATAAATGCTACAATAACTTCTATTACCAGCAGCTCAGCTTTTATGTTGTTTTAGTGAACCCCGGTGAAATGTCAGGAAGGTATGAAAAAATAGAAACCACCCAAGCCTAATCTGGCAGAATGATAATGCCATCCGTTAGCCATGCTTGCAAAAACAATATGATGAAAGAACCCTTTCTATGCTTTACTTAATTAAAAACACCACACTGTATGTCTGCAAAAAACCTAATCTACTCTGACACAAGTAAACACATGCAAGCACACCTACCACCTGAAGCATAGTTTAGTCCTGCACAAAGGAACAAGAAATTAGACAACAGGAACTAGTCAAACCAGCTCTGATTTAGTCATAATAGAGATAATAAACATTGAGCTTAAAACTAAAAGCCTCAATCATGGCAAAAGTACTTACAGCAAGGCTAATTGAGAAAATGATGCCCTGCTTCCCTTGAACTCCTCCTGAACCTGCTCACAGCTTTCAAATGATGTCCCTTTGTTTGTGTTTGACCTCTGCGTGGAAATAACCTCCCCAGTTATCCTTGGAAAATTGCAGGGTATGAGCGGAGCTAGCCAGGAGCAAACATGGCTATTGGCTGCTGAGGCGCCTGCTGAGAGAGAAAACACATTGTTGCCATTAGCGTGTGACTCTGACTTTAACAAATGGCTGATCTGTTGTGACATGCTCTTCCTTTCCCTGGTGGATCTGTGACAGGGTTGTTGCGGAGATGGGCTGCTGTCGGGTTGGCTCAGCAAGCCACAAACTGCTGTCTATGAGATTTGTTGAAGAGGAATTTTATGGTTGATTATCTGTAAGCTTAATGTTTTGTTCAACTAAATTACAACCACAAACTCTTATAACAAATTTTTTAAGTAGAAGATCTGAGTTTTTTTCCCTAACAATTGTGCCTTTTAGTTTAAGAGTTTGCATATTTGGATCCAAAAACAGCGCTTGAAGTTGGCCAGTATCCACCGGTATGCCGTACAAGCACTTCTACATGTTAATCTTTGGTGTAACATGACTTGCACTGCGCACTGGCACTTTGCACAAGCAGTTCGTTGTTACGGGTGGTGTGGTGACAGAGAGGACTGAAATGCAGCGCTCAGAGCGAAGGAGGTTTATTGAGGGAAAAGGGTTTGAGGGACTGGAGTGGAGGGAGAGGTGGATGCCGGGGAAACCCTGGCACGGGGAAACCGAGGAGACTGGGACCAGAGAGCCAGGGAACACTGGGAGCCGAGGGGGAACTGGAAGGACGCTGTGGGGGGGGGGGGAAGTCTGGGGAGGAGAGGACAGGAGGAGGAGCCCAGCCAACTGAACAGAGGACGAGGATGAGTGAACCTGGGAGGGAAACAGACAAGGTTAGTGACAGCAGAGACAAAGCATGGGGAAATTAGAAGAAATCAAAATACATGTGAGCTTAAATGTAGAGGTGGCACCAGGTAAGGGGCAACAACAATCAAGCGAGGATGGTGTGGAGAACCGGGGTTGAAATACAGGCAGGGGATGAGGTTGATTACTAGCAGGTGTGGCAGGCTGACGAGGTGGCTGATGAGGTGCAGGTGCAGGTCGTTGGCTGGGCTCAGGAGCAGAGGGAGAGAGAGAGAGCGCACACACAGGGGAAGAGACACAAGGAGGTGGGCAGAGAACAGAGAAAACCAAGGAAAAAGCAGAATAACTGATGAAAAGGAGAAAAAAACAGGACACTCACCATCAGCCGGGCTGCCACCACAACAGTTCGTACTCTTATATGCCCTCTCCAGATCACATTGGGTGATTCATTATAACCCTAAATAAACCTCATTACCCAGGGGGCAATACGTTATGTTCACCTGTTCCCGTTTTCATCTGCCTGCATTTCTCTGTCGATGGCTATTCAAAATTCCATTACATGAAGCTGACAAAGCCTGGCTGTAAAAGGGCACAAACAGAACATGAACAGAGTCAGATGATGACACAACAGAGCTTCGAAAGTAAAATTCTACCCTCCAGGTGCTCATCATTTGTGTGACACACTAAAAGTAGAGAGAAGAGAAAGTAAAAGAAAGTATCAAGGAATTCAAGAAATTACGGGCAACCTTATCGGGTGTCTTTTGTTGAAACATGTTCAACTTTTTACGCAGTCCAAAAGCACATCAATGTGACTTTTCTTGACCAATCACAGCCTGGGTGGGGCGGGACATTAAAGAAAGATTGACCTACTACAGCAAACTTTTGAAAAGTTGAACTTATTGTTATGCATGAATGTTTATGATTATTGACAAGTTAGCAATTAGCATTAACAAATTAGAGACTAAATACCAATGTAGACCATTTTCTTGCACAAGGATTTAATGACAGAACAAAACCTACAAAAATTATAAATGGATGTGTGTAATTCTTAAACTGCTGTGTTATATTAGTTAGTCATCCAGGTTGTGGATAGAGCATCCGCAGTGGACAGACGTATATTTAGCCAGAGCCAGGATGCCATTATGCTGCTTCTAGCCAGCCTCCTTCTAAGAGCAACACATGCCCTTTGTTCTATTTATATTTACTGAAGTCATTGTTGTAATATAAATATTGTGTGTGGGTGTGTGTGTGTGTGTGTGTGTGTTTGTGTGTGTCCACAAAAAACATATCTGTTATGTTTTGATTGACATGGGGTTGGATACATTATCACCAATGTTTTCTTGACAACTCTCTTTTTTGCAATGATGTATTCTTTAACAACTGTCTATGGATATACAGTATGAACTCTCACTTTTGGACATCCACATAAGATATATAAGTAAGTGGTATTAAAATGGTATTTAAAGTGTTGCCTTTACGCATTTGGGTACCAAAATGTGTTTATTAGAGATATATTTTAACTTTTCACTTTGCTCCTGGTTTATTGAACTACATCTACCAGGTATACCAGATGAGCCACATGGAATGTACTGTTGATATGGCTCCCAAATGAAAACAATCCATCATTTGAAAAGAAAAAAAAAGTCACAGCTGCTCTTACAAAATGATTTACTGAAGCACAAAATGAAAGCACACTATGGTTACTTAAGTTGTACAAAGCAGCAGGAGTTTTTATAGGCTAATGATAAATTGTTTGACAAAGATTTCCTTAACAGGAATGTTAATGTACACGTGTTTTCAATCTTACAGAAGATGTTACACATTAAATTGAAATTTAAAAAATGCTGATGGATGTTTTCATCCTTATCTCATGTGTCAGGTTTCTCCAACTACACCAACTAATTATATTACAGCAAGTACTTTAATGCCACAAGTGTTGGTGTCACTCTTGTCAGATAGAGGATATCTCACGTTGGCATGAATCTGCGTTTTGTCTAAAGCAGATAGGCTCAGAAGCTTTGAGCCAGGAGTCAGATCGCATGATAAAGTTTTGTTTTGGCCTCAGTCTGGAAAGCCTGCAGTCAGGATACACTGTAAAAATGTCAGTTCTTCAGATCAGTCAGTTTTTCAAAATGTCTGATGTATTTTTGTATAGTTTTGCTCACAGTGACAAACCTACAGAGAATTATCATCGAACTCTGCAGTTCCCCTCAGTGTTGTAGTTAGCGACTATCTGGTGAACACAGTGGAACATTAAGCTATTACAGAGCCAAATTGTACCTTAGGAGTTGGTGGAGAGCAAAAAGAGAGCCAAGAAGTGTGAATGTTGGATTTTTTGCCAGGAGGCATAAACACGACTCCAAATTAATGCTAGTGCTGCTACGTGTCTGTTCTGTGTCTGTATGTGTAAATAAGTAACTGTAAAATATTCACCTTATAAACTTAAGAGGTGATAATGTCACCAAAAAGTCAGTTAAAGCTAGTTTAGATGAAATTGCTTTGGAATAAATTAAATTTATATTTTAATCACTACTAAACACTACAAACATCTCGGAATAAGAACAACTGTTTTGGAGTGTAAGGCAGGTATACAGCAACAAGTTTGCCCATCCCAGTTCTCTCAACACATGACAGAAGTTGGCAGTGAATTCTCCTATTACTCAACTATAACATCCATTAGTGATGGAACTATTAACCTGATCCAGTTTGTATTGGCTGGCTGCACCTTTTCACATGGCCATGGAGGGAAAGAAATGGCAAAGAAAAGAAACAAGACGTCAGTGGCATTAATGCACTATCACATGCTAATTTAGACGCTGTTTCACTAAATCCTGTCGTATGGAGTTTAGTCTGGGACATTGCTCAGGCTCCCTTAAAGAGATTTAATCCAGGCTGAAGGTGATGGCCTGTGACACTAATAACAAACCACCCAGTGACAACGGACCACCACTTTTAAAAAAAAGTTCTTACACTGAATATTGGATATTTGCGGCAGTAATGTGTTTGCCAGTGAATGAGATCATTTAATTCGTTTTCCATTGCAATTTGATATTTAAACATTGGTTCTCTTCAGTGGACAAGAGGCAACCAAAGACCACCACCTAACTGCTCTGAATGGGATCCATGGGTGGAGGTGTGCAATCAGGGTAGTGGCCCCTTTGGGTTATAAATGGTCTGATGGCCAAAAATATGGAAGTTATTGTTTTTCATCACGTATGTCCCTTAAGTCTTACTTAATATGGGGAATGTTTCCTTATAAGTTGGCGTAGCAAGGCGGATTCCAAGCCTCAGGACTATACTAAACAATCACTGACATACATTATCAGTAACATACAGTCTAACCGGCTCCTTTACTCTATTCCCAGCAAAAACTTTGCAAAGTCTTTGTGCTTTTTTTTTCTTGGATCTTTTCTATTGTTACAAGCAGATCTGTCCTTAATCAGCACTGTGCTCTGAGGGGTGGTTCAACAGTATGTCTCATGATGAAACTGTATGCTCAATGGTAAAACCTCAAGCCAGAAACAATAAACATCACAAACACATGTTTGTTTACATGCCAGCCAGCACTGAACATGTGGATGTGGTGTTGTAAACCGGTGATACCAAAATGTAGAGAGTCTGGTGCTTGTGGGAAATGGATTAGTTACAGATTTAGCGTAAATCCTTGTTTTTTTCCCCCTCTCACTCACGAAGACTCACATACACGGTGACTAAAAGCCACTAAAATCTTCCCTCAAAGACATGTGTGAAGCCATTCTTTCCAACTGTAAAATGGCCGTTGTCCATCCATTTACGTGACAGTGATGAACTTTGACGCCAGTTTCTCACCCTTCACTCGGTCGACCTGTGGAATACGAGTCCCATGGGGGTGTTGTAAAAGCACAGGCTTACAACAGAAGGTCACAGTGGGAGCATGAACGTCACAGACACTTCGCAAAAATTCAAGGAACTCACAGCAGTGTGATCAGACACGTTGTCCATCATCATGAGTGGTATTTCTAAGATATAGTTCAATATTTTGGGAAATGTATTTGCTTTCTTGTAAAGAGTTAGATGAGTTCTGTTTCTAGTCTATATGCTAAGCTAAGCTAACCAGCTGCTGGCAATATCTAACTCACTTTGAGTGTGGTATGGATCTTTTCATCTAATTCTTGGAAAAATGTCAAACTATTCTTTTTTACCACTGTCTGTTTTCCCAGTATTCCCAAATCTTTAACTCTCTCTTTATTTTACTTCCTTTCATGCAATTTCCATGTCTTTAATCCCTTTTTCTTTCTCTGTCTAGGAACCTTTTTAACCTTTTTCTCACAAGCATCTGATAATCATCTTAATCTGGTCGACAGCCTGAGCTTGTCTCCTTTCTTATCTCAGTGTACATGTACGTATGTGTGCAAGCTTTTTCATTTCTTGCACATTTTTTATGCCGTGTACTCTTGCAGTTTGCAAGTGCATGAGGACATCTTGATGTGGATCATCTGCGTAGGTGTCTGCAGTCCCTGTCTATGTGGGCCCGTTCTGACAGAGACAGAGGCACGTGTGAGGCCAGATCACGCTGTCTCACCCACCCACCCCACTCTCCCATGCCTGACTGGGAGTGTGGGAATGTGTCATCCGATATCATAACTCCAGCAAGACCTGTGAGGACAGAGAAGGTAATCCAGCAGGACAGAGGCGTGTCCTGGTCTGATCAGCACAGCAATGCAGATGGGAAGCTAAAGGAGTGATATTTTACAGTGCACTACTGCACTCTGTATTTCAATGCAGTGTAGTTCCCAACTAAAGCATGGAGGAAGGTCTTGTTTTAGCAAGCCGAAGCTAAAGATGCCCAGCGGATGTAGGAACTTGGACTATGTGTCAATTTAAATTCCTTAGAAGAGGATAACAGCTGCTCAGGTGCTGCAGCCTGCTTATTCAGCAGCAATGGAAACATCCTCATGGCTGACCCAGACCTCAACCGAAATGAACACCACTGGCATAATTTAAATCAGTGTCACACACTTTATAGTGAATCAAGGCCAAAGTATACTGAAGCTGTTTTGGCAGTTTGTAATGGGCCAGCACTCTATTAAGACACATATGTAGGTGTTTTTCTTTAATTTAGGGATTTCTTTTAGTCCAAATCAGCAGGTCACACCATAATAGCTTTTTCCAATTTGTAAGTGTTGTATGCTTTAC